TCCAGCCTCATTAGATGAATTGGTTTAACAGCCACAAATGTATTGCTTAATATCTTGGTGTTTTTGGCCAATAAGGCGCCTCTTTAAGGATAGGAAACTGTTGTGGTCCTCCTGAGGAGCTGGCAGCAGAGTTTGACAGCAAGGAGGTTGGGGAGGAACATGGGTCAGTCCTGGAGTATGGGGAAGGCTCGGACGAGGGGTCTGCGTCAGAGGCAGAGATGGGGCCAGGGACATGGGAGTTATGTGCTCCCTCCGGAGCCTCCAGAGTCGGACAGCAGCGAGGCAGAGGAACAAGCTCCCCCAGTTCCCAGTGCGTGCATGCGCAGAGCTGCTGTAAGGCAAGAACAATTAAGACAGAAGGGACGACTTGGGTGTAAGGCTTGGAGGTGATTGGACATAAAGTAGGAGCAAAGGCACATGAGCCATTGCAGGAAGCAACTTGGTTCATACTGGTCAGTTTACCTTCTGAAACTCCGTTTTGACACTTTGCTCCATGTGGCCCTGCCAAGCTAATTGCCAATTAAGTCTTTGGCAGTGTTTCAAAGAAGATAAAGGTGGGTGCTTATCAGCCTTATCCTGAAGGACTTTGGCAACCTACTGTAGGACTCTTTTCAACTATTTGGGACTCATTACGGGCTGCGAATGAACATAATTCATAGCCTTTGAAATAAAAAGAGAGTTTTTGGGACTAAGCATGTGCTTTTTACTGTTTCAGGCCTAGGTCAGAACAGACAAGCCTAAGTCAGAACAGAAACTTTATATGTTTGTGTGTGTGTGTGTGTGTGTGTGTGTGTGTGTGTGTACATCTATGCATCTATAAGACCAGTTTACCTTCCACTTTAAATCTTAATAAATATGCATCACACTGAATGTAAATATGGTATTCAATGATTTGCAATTTTTATCTTGTGAAATTGATATCACAGGGAACATGGAGAGGACATAAATGAATTTACAAGAAAGAGCATTAATAATTTCAGCTGGGGCACCTGATGCAAAAATAGTCTCGTGCCCACATTTGCCAGCAAGTTGATCAAGTGACCTGGTTTTGTTAAACCAACCAAACTCAGTTCCAGGACAAACCCTCTTTTCACTCTACTAGATGGTTCAAAAGAAGGACATAATAAAGAAATAATAAGAGGAAAGTATGAGGAACAATGAGAACAACAATATCCACTGCAATCGCTTTTGCAAATCCTCTACATCTCTTCATTAGTATGGCAGTAAAGTAAATTTACTAATTAATAATAATAATAATAATAATAATAATAATAATAATAATAATAATAATAGTCAGTGCATAATAATTATAAATAATAATTATAATTATAAATAAATAATAAACTAATTTCACAAACTGATATGCAGAAATCCATTTTACCTGGAGAATCAATAAGGCACAAGGACACATTTTTATGCTAGAAGTAACTGCTATAATGCAACACATGTAAAATATGCCCCTTTGTACCCATGGGAATGCATACGACATAGAATCACAAGCCATGGGCTCAGCTGGACTTTATCTTAAACCAAGATACCCACCTCACTCTCTTAAATTTATACAGCTTTACCCACATATAAAACTTTATTGAAACGTTAATTGTATTGTGAAATCTTATCCCGTGACGGCTTGTGATTTTCGATTTTGTTTTCAAACACACCAAATCTTAGCAGAGAAATATAGTTGTTCATTTATGAAAAGCAGGATATACAGACCAAGCAGAAACAGAAAACAACATTGCCATCGGCTTATAATATATTAATGCTTTTATAATAATAAAAATCATGTAATTGTTACTCAGAGCAGACAATAATTAAAACGAATACAGATAGTCCTTGACTTACAACAGTGCATTTAGACTCCATTCAAAGTTAGAACAGCACTGGAAAAAGTGAGTTGTGGCAGTTTTTCACAATTACAACCATTGCCTCATCCCCGTGGTTATGTGATCAAAAGTCAGACACTTGACAACTGAGCCATATTTATGACTGTTGCAAGGGTCCTTCTGACAAGCAATGAGAAGCCAGCTTCACTTTGTAGTCATGTTGCCAGCTTAACAACTGCAATGATTCACTTAACAACTGCAGCAAGAAAGATCATAAAATGGGACAAAATTCCCTTAATAAATATCTCACTTAGCAACATAAATTTTGGGCTCCATGGCAGTCATAAGTTGAAGACTACCTGTGCAATATTAAAATCAGTGAAAAGAAAACCTAAGTAGAATAAGCAAATTCGGGGGGGGGGAACCCCACCGATTTTTCAATTAAAAATTACAAAGCTTTGTGAAGTCAAATGATTTTGAGTGAATGATTTGCTAAGAAACATCAGGGAGAATGTTAGTCAGCTTTGCAAGAGAGGTTTAGGTGGAAAAAGAATGTGGTTATGAGTAAATACACAGCAGAGTCTTCATGGCCACAATCTGCAATACAATGACCATAGTAACTTTGCTAAGCAAGACTATGGTTCTAGTGTCTCCTGGCCAATGGAAGGAAGTGTGCCTATTAGGGCCTGTTATCCAAAGGTCATAGGTTAGGCAGAAAGAAAACACAGGTGCTAGGAGATTATCAATTGTCGGCAACACAAAAAGAGCATAGGATATAAGTAACTTTATCATCGTCCTTATCATTGTCATCCAGGTCGACATTAAATGCAATATTAAGTATTTCTTATTAGGACCTTATTAGAAGGTCCTTAAAATAAAAATACAATACAATAGCAGAGTTGGAAGGGACCTTGGAGGTCTTCTAGTCCAACCCCCTGCCTAGGCAGGAAACCCTCTACCGTTTCAGACAAATGGCTATCCAACATCTTCTTAAAGACTTCCAGTGTTGGGGCATTCACAACTTCTGGAGGCAAGCTGTTCCACTGATTAATTGTTCTAACTGTCAGGAAATTCCTCCTCAGTTCTAAGTTACTTCTCTCCTTGATTAGTTTCCACCCATTGCTTCTCCTGGTGCCTTGGAGAATAATTTGACTCCCTCTTCTTTGTGGCAACCCCTGAGATATTGGAACACTTCTATCATGTCTCCC